TGCAAACTCATACAACTTTTCTGGAAAGTGGTTTACTCCATTTCAGGAACATGAGACTGTCTTACCAATTAGCTCCAGTTATAAACACACATCCAAAGAAATAGAATCTGAAATATAGACCTGAGCTCACCATTAAAAAAGAAACAGGTAAACTGTGTCTTGGTCAAGGAGAAAGGTAAACTACAGAATGTTCATTAAGTAGAAAAACATTTAGCCACATATCCATTTTTAGGAGAAAAATTAGTAAAATTATATAGTCATTATTTCAATATTAATTTCTTATTTATAGTATTATTCATAGAATTTAATCAGATAATATTAAGCCAATCCAACACTGTGACAGGCATCTGGTAACAGAAATTTATATTGAATAGGAGGTATGATTTCAATTTTGGGGAAAAGGTAAGAGTAGAAAAATGACAAAATATTATAGAAAAGTAGGAAAATGAAGGAAATCTAGTTAATTGTTATGAGTGGCAAGAAAATATATAAAATATTTGTGCTTCTTTCTGAGCTTTACTATGTTTTATATAATCAATGGTCATAATTTTTATTTTTCCTTCCCTCCCTCCCTCCCACCTCCTCTTCTTCCAACTTTTGTGTGACTATACTGGGGCTTGAACTCAGGGCCTCATGCTCTTGCTTAGGCTTTTCTGTTCAAGGCTGGCATCTTTATCATTTGAGCAACATCTTCACTTACTGGCCCTTTGCTAGTTAACTGGAGATAAATGTCTCTCAGTTTTGTCAGTCCAAGCTGGCTTCCAACTGTGATCCTCAGATTTCGGCCTCCTGAGTAGCTAGGGATTACAGGCATGAGTCTTTGGTTCCCCAGCTAATGGTTTTTACTTAGATAAAAATCAGTTGAGATTGCATGGTTCTAAATGATATTTTAGCAGAATCTATGTATAAGATATTTTTCCTTTAAAAAACATTGTAAAAGGATAGGGAAGAGAAGAGTAATAAGACCCAGCAAAAATGGTAGAGAGAGAATAATTTTCCAGTGCTTGTAGCTCACTTCATGGCCTAAATTGGAAATAAAGGCTCAGGGAAAGGGCTGGGAAAGTGACCCATGATGCACAAGCAGTTGATAAGGGAAGACTAAAAGCTTCAGTTGACTTGGAGAAGTGATAGAGCTGGTAGATATGAATTTTTCAATTTTATGAGAATGATAGGGATCTGAAATAAATCTTCAGTATTTTCTTTTTAAGATAAATGTTTTAAAATAAACGCCCACGGCATGGATGGATGGCTAGTGCCTGTGTCCTGTCTGAGAGCGGATCATAAATAACACTGAGAAAAATAGCTTTGGCCATTCTAAAAAAAAGCTTTTTTTAAAAACTCTTAAGAGCTCGGCAGATTATATTTTGATGCATTAAGCTAGATTTTTTTAAGGCAGCTGCAAATAACAGGTGGAGCATAGAAATTGTCTAGTTAGAAATAACTACTTAGGGCTTGGCATGAAAGCAAATCTTAGTTTCAAAACCTGTCTGAACAACTGTGGACATATCTATGGGTTAGAACACAAATTCAAATTTAAAAAGCACTTGATGGGTTCATGACCTAGGAAAGACTTTAGTGAAATCTCAGGGTGAAAATTCAAAATTGTTTCTCAGCCCTACCATGTAAATCAGGTAATCTTTCATAAATACAAACTGTCAGATAATCAGATTTGTTTGAAATATATATATATATATATATATATATAAAAATTTTTTCTCTGCAGGTCCGTATATTCCAGAGCTTGTAGCTAGCTTTACTGTAGGCATTGGTTTTCCTGCTCACTAATGGAGGAGAACAGAAGCTGCATCAGGGCTAGACATGATGAATAGTCAGGCATATTCTTTATCTCATAAAGTGATTGCTTCACTACCCTGAGATGCCTTAATGGTACTTGTTTACTTCCCATTCCTGCATCATTAAATGTCTCTGTGATGTCTGAGAGTGAGGTCAAGTATCTGATGGCAAGTTGAATGAGAGGTTGTGCTTGCAAGAAAGGCTTCTGAACCCAGCTGTGAGAGCAAGGACTGAGAGAGGCAGGAGCACACACTTGATCTAAAGAGGGAAACCAACCCAGCACCACCATGGCCCTCTGATTGTTGAGAAAAGTGCAAAAAACATACATTGGAAAAGATGATAGCCTCACCAACTAATGGTGATGTGAACAATGGTGATGTACAAGACTAAAGTGAGATCTCCTATCTCTCATTCTGCAGAGAAATCAAATAAAAATGGATCAAACACCTTCATGTAAGACAAGAAAGTCTGAAACTTCTACAGGAAAACAGAGGGAATAAACTCCAGGATACAGACATAAGAAACAACTTTCTGAATAAGTCTTCAATAGCTTAGGAAATAACAACAGGAGTTGACAAATGGGATTGCATCGAATATAAGCCTGAAAAGCTCTGCACAGCAAAGGAAACAACTGTCAGCATGAAGAGACAGCCCCACTCCAGACAGGGAGAAAATCTTTGCCAGCTATTCTTCTGAATGGGATTAATATCCATAATCTATAAAGAATTCAAAATAAATTAAGAACAAAAAAATCCAATCAAAAGGGCAAATCCTGTAAACTGTGTTCATCAGATGAACAAGTACAGATGGCCCACAAACACATTAAAAATGTTCACTCCATTAAGGAAATGCAAAGCAAAACACCTGGATTCTATCTAACTTAAGTCAGAGTAGTTATCATCAAACAAATTCCAGAGATAAAGGAGGTTGGGTGGGATTTATGTGGTGTATATGGAATGTAAATCAATGCAGCCAGTGGAAATCAGTATGGAGGTTCTTCAAACAACTAAAAATAGTAGTCTCATTTAGATCCTTGCTATACCATTCCTGGGCACATACTTGAAGAACCCAGAGTCAACACACAATAGAGATATCTGGACACTTACATTTATTGTACCATTATTCACAATAGCTAAGTTATGGACTCAACCTAGGTGCCCCTCAATACAAGAAGAAAATGTGGTATATACACAATGGTGTATTATTCAGCCATAAAGAAGAATGAAATTATGTCATTTGCAGAAAAATGGAAATCATCATGGTTAAGACAAATAAACCAGATTCTGCAGATTCTAATATCCAAGTATTACATGTTTTCTCTCTTATGTAGAATCTAGATTTTTTTTTAAAGTAAAATAAGTAAAAGGAGGCCTTTTGGGGAGGAAGGTAGCACCACTAGGAGGGCAGAGAAGGGGACAAGAGAGGAGGATGGTGAGGTAAATCTGATTGGAATACACTATATACACCCACTAAACTGTTAGGATGAAATTCATTATTCTGTACAATCAACAAAATTTAACAAGAGGGAAGCCCAGCCCGGTGTGGCTGGCATGTGCCATGTCTATAAAGGTATGCTGAGGCAGGAAGAGCACAGGAGGCCAGTCATGGCTACACAGACAGACTGTCTCAAAAAAAAAAAAAAAAGTGAGTACCTCCATGACTCACCTCTTTATTGAGATCTGACTCATCAAAGCCGATCAGTATCCCAGGTCTTATTTCGAATTGCTAATTTTCTAAATATCAAGTCTACTTAAAAAAAAAAAAAAACAGTACACAGTGCCTGCCAATGTAAGCATTTCCATGTCCCAAACACTGTTCATCATATTTGCTTAAAAACTCTGGTTTCTACACATTCCTAAGAATTGCCAGCTCATCCAAACACTGTACTAGCTTTTTCCCAGACTGGCTAAGAAGGTTTGGGGAAGGTACTTCATGTCATGGGGGATATATGGCCTAGGATTTCCCCTCCTAAAGTGAGGGTTAGTTGAACTGGGGCTTTTGGGGATGTTTGGAAGATGTATGGAAATACCCCAACTCTAAGCACCATGCAAGTCACAGCGAGATCTCCTTGGTGGTTACCATTCTCCATGAAGCAAAGATAAAACCTTCTTCTGGGAGTGGAGAGCATCTCCCCCACATTCTGCAAGACTGCTGTTGGATTCATCTTCACCTAGTGCTGGTTTTAACAACCCGCCCCCATCACTCCTGACTTTATAATGTTCCATAATGGATAAAGGGCCCTCATGGTGCTTATCGCTTTATACGTGCAAAAGAACCAATTTTTCCTTGCCCAACTAGCAGACAAACTGTCAGAAAAAATAGACTTCGCCATGGCGAAAACGTCTGCCTGGCACCCATCTATCATAAAGCAATCTTCTAGAAGTCTTGAAAACCTTCATTAAATTTCCTGTCTTTCTCCTGACAGTTATAAAATGGTAACGACATTACTCACGATGCAGGCATCTTCAGAAATTCTTGGTCCAATCCCTTGTGCCTCTGACAGTGCCTGTCACCTTGTCCCTGCTCAAATCCATGGAAACCTGGGACATGGTAGTATCCCCATATAGCCTTGCAGGGCCTAGCCCTCACAGAAGGTCAAGGGTGAAAAAGCTGCAGTCATCTGGATAACAGTGAGAAACCTCTCTCTCCAACAGAAATGGAAGGCAAAGGTACTTTTCCTTTGAATTTCCCTGCTCAAAGACACACACACATTTAAGCTGAAAGGCAGGACCTTGTCCTACTGTTGCCATCTACTTCTTGATTCCTTCTTTCCCCTTTCTCTTCCCAATATACTAAGCCACAAGTACCTACATATCCATAATATGATAGTATCAGGGATGGTGGAGATGATGGGGGGTGGCGAGAATGACCATACGTTTATCACCTCAGTGGATTCTCGCTCTAGGGATAAAAAAAAAAATCCCCCTACTGACTTCACTAATTGAATTTCTTCAAATTGTGAAGGGTCACTTAGCAATTCACCACCTCTCAGCAGAAGAAGAAATAAAGAAAACCACCATATGCAGATGCAGAATAGACCCCTGAAGTCACAGGTATTCAGTATTACCACCACTGGTTGCTCCAGACACACATGGGGTGACGATGGCCCATTTTCAAAGCCCTACCTGCGCTGTGTAGATGGAGGTTTCACGTGAAGCATGACTTCAGAATGAGTGGAATCCATTCACACTAAGTCATCATCTTACCTGCGAAAGGAACTGGTGCATCTTTATCCAGGGCTACTAGGGGTGGATCCAGAATGACTGTGTCGTTGTTCTCAGTTATAACTCCATGGTATGATGTCTCAATCCATGGCTTGTGTTTGTTGACTAGAAAGAACAGAAAACAGAAGGTCATTGTATGAATGCATAGTGTTAGTATCGTATAATTTTGCCCAATCACAGGCTCTCATGTCACCACCCTAAGGAAGATCACAGCAGGTTAGCCCATTTTATATCTAGACAGGGGTTCAGCAATTCACCCTAATAATTCACACACAAGGTAAAAGGTGGGTCAGTAGTAGAGTGCTTGCCTTGCATGCATGAGGCCCTGGGTTCGATTCCTCAGCACCACCTAAGCAGAAAAAGCTGCAAGTGGTGCTGTGGCTCAAGTGGTAGAGTGCTAGCCTTAAGCTGAAGAGCTGAGGGACAGCACCCAGGCCCAGAGTTCAGGCCCACAACCAGACCACCCCCCCCCAAAAAAAAAACAAAAACCCACAATTCTGTCTATAAAATACGAATCCTCTACTTCACCAAAATTCCATTATTGCTACTTCAGAATGCCCAGTGTAGGGAAATAGTAGTATTTTAAAACTTAAAATTTCAAATGTTAGTATCTATTAACAGCTATTTCACAATCCATTATTGATCAATAAATTTGCAGATTATGTGTCTATGTAGTGGGATTTCTGATCTCAGTATAACTGGATCCATATTTAAGAGTTACTAGTACATTTTGCTTATGTATGTATGTGTATGTGTATATGTGTGTGTACAACAAATTTTGCCCATAGGCATTAATTGCCCAGAGGTATTAATGGTGGTTAGAGAATTAAATTAACTCTATACTAGCATGAAGAGTGATCTTTCAGGACTCTAGGCATTCACACACAGTGAGACCAAAGGACGATACTCCTAGGGTAGGAGCACAAAGGTGTAATACCTATGTACCTGTGATCATATAAAATAATGCTTATCAATATGAATCTAGGAAATAGAAACAAGAGGTTTTTTTCTTTGTCATTTTTGTTTGATTTCTGTTTGCCTAGTTAGTTTATCTGTCTTTGGGAGGGCAAGGAGGTACAAAATAGAGGGGACAAAGGATAAACAAATGCAGCAGTGGTACTCACAAGCCATTATTTGGAAAACCAACTATATGCAACTTGTGAGTGGGAACAGGAGGGGAAAATTGGGTGACATTGTCCAAAAAGCTAAAAAAGTACTCATGACATAACTTAGGGAACTGTAACCCCTATGTTATAAAACATTTAAAAAGAGTAAACTTTCTAAAGTATTAACCTGGTTACTCAACTGTGAGTTTCTTGGATTCTTTTAAAGCCTCACATACTTTCACAGAAGTCTGAGTGCAAAGTAGATGCTTTAAAAATGAAATAACAAGGATGTAGCTCAATGATAGAGCACTTGCCTAGCATGTGTGAGGTCCTGGGTTTGATCTCCAGTCTCACAATAAAACAAACAAATCCTAAAATAAACTTAGCATGAGTCCTGGAAACTCAAAGTTGTTCTGATGCCAGCTCTCCCTCACAAGCTGCTTTCACAGTTTCAGAGATGCGGTCACATACCTAATGCCATTCACAGCAACTTGTGAGGTAGGTGTGATCATCATAAAGACGATGAAGAAAGAGCTTCCCCAAGGTGTGAGTTCCCAAAGACAACCACACGGTAATTAATAAGTGAAGAAACCAAAAGCTAATGTTTTGACTGGTTAAGTTAGGATATCCAAAAAGCATGCACAAATATACTCATATATGTATATGCATTATGATATATAACATGCATTATACTGCATATAGCATACTGCAATAGCAAAGCAATAGCTTACAGAATTGAGAGTATTATGGTACCAGGTACTATAATACTATATGTTAGGACACTGATGAAGATCAGAAGTTTAGAGACTAGAATTAAGGGTAGCAGAGCCATCACCCTTCTGATCTATATATATGTATTCTAAATCACGTTGTTATTTAATAGGTAATATAATTTACATATGTGTGTATACATATATAGATATAGATATAGTTTTCAGTAGGCATGGCAAAGCAACAGATAATAGAATTAAGAGTAACTGTTGCAGAGGTTCCTGTAAAAGGTCATTTAAGAATAGAACCGATGACAGCCTCTCTCTGGACTGTCATTTTTGTCCTTTTTACCCCCACTGAGAGGTAGTCTAGTAGGGCAGGACACATAGGTCTAGCCGGCCTCAGGTCTTGACCCCCGAGATCCAGTTCTGCTGACAGAATCACACCGAGCTCTGCCCACCACAGGTGAGCCTGGGGAGGAGGTTCATCTCTTCTCCCACTTTGGCATTCAGACCAGTGCTTCATTATAGACCCTGGAAGAATTACAGCCACCCTGGGCTGTCCCCACACTCCTTTGCTCTTTTATTTGCCATCAACACAAATGCAATGTAAATAATTTGCAGCTGTTGGGAGAAACAATTAATCTTTTCTTCCCTTTAATTAAGCCTAGGGGCCTATTCATTAGAAATGTGTACAGAGCATTCAGCCAGGAGCTTGCCTGGAGTTTCAGATTCATTGTGCTACATGGCTTCATGGTAGGCCATAGATCTAGAGCCACCAGGCATGTTACACACAAAACATGAAACACTGATGGTAAGTAACATGCATAAATAATATAATATTTCTTTACCAGGCAATCTGGTAAAGAAATAGCCAAAGTTGGACAGATATGACCTCCAAATAAATACATGATAGAAAAATATAACATGGAAAGATAAGTGTGTTCCCCTTCGACGGTGCCCAGGGATGTGTACACTAAAGTCACAATGCAACATGCTAGAACACTACTTGAATGCTTGACAAGGCCAAGTTCCCGTGAAGCCACTGGCAGTTCCACGCAGTGTTAGTGAGCACACACAACAATGCAGTCGCTGCAGAAAACATGCAGAGTTCTGTCTTCTACCAATTCTATTCCATGAGGAATGAAAACATAAACTACACAAACAGATTTAGATGTACACCATCACAGACCCTTCATCCAGAATACTGACACCCTGTAAATGAAATGCCCATCAACTGGTGAGGGCACAAATAAATCACAGTGTGTTGGGATAATGGACAGCCAGTGAGCAATAAAAGAAGGTCAGCAGCTGGACCACATGAAACATTAGTCTCCAAAAATTCTGCCTGTGAAATAAAATGGAAGAAGTCGGATGTGGAAAGCTTGTCTGCTATGTGATGACATTCTAGAAAATGCAAAAATCTAGGGGATGGGTCAAGACTTTTTTGGGCAGTATTTGATGGTAAAGGGGACCTGAGGAACTATCTGGAATTAGGGGGGACTGTTTTATTTATATCTTGGTCCTGGGGGTGGCTACATTTCTATGTGTTACAAATGTCCAAACATACCAACAACACACCTAAAAGGGTGACTATTAGTATATACAAACCATACCTCAGTGAGCCTGGTTCAAACAAATAAACCAAAGAAGGAATTATCAACCCTTTTGTGGCTGGAGGCATGGCTCTGGTGGTAGGGCGCTTGCCAATAAATCTGTAGCATCAGAGAATGAGTTTGAGTTCGAATCCCATACCAGACGCCCCCACAAACAACAACAACAACAAAGGAATAAAATAAGCATGACACAAGAACGAAGTCCTTATTCTCAGAAGGCTGTCATACTAGAGGAGAAGCCATGACAATCAGAATGTGAAAGGGAGGAAGGGTGGGGGCAGTGGACAATGAGTGGAAGTCCTAAACCTGGCATGGCAATCCATGCTTCCATCCTGAAGGAAGTAGGTTCTAAGTCAGTAAGAACCAAGCAGGGATAAAGGATGCCCAGGGCTCCAGACAGAGGAAGGTGGATGATCTAAGTCCCAATGGTAAAAAGCCTTGGCATATCATGGAGATAATATACATGATTAAGTTTACCTAGAGAACAACTTTTTTCAATGTTTTTTGTTTAGTGCTGGTCCTGGGATTTGAACTCAGGGCCTGAGAGCTATCCCTGAGCTTTTTTTGCTCAAGCCTAGTGCCCAGCTACTTAAGGCACAGTTTTATTTCCAGCTTTTTTTGGTGCTTAATCAGAGATAAGAGTCTCACAAGCAGGGTGCCAGTTGCTCACACCTGTAATCCTAGCTACTCAGGAGGCTAAGATCTGAGGATCACAGTTCAAAGCCAGCCTGGGCAGGAAAGTCTGTGAGACTCTCATCTCCAATGAACTACCAAAAAACCGGAAGTGGCACTGTGGCTCAAGTGGTAGAGTGCTCGCCTTGAGCTGAAGAGCTGAGAGACAGTGCTCAGGCCCAGAGTTCAAGCTCCGTGACTGGTTTAAAAAAAAAAAAAAGTTTCACAGACTTTCCTGCCTGGGCTGGCTTAGAACATCAAGCTTCACATCTCAGCCTCCTCAGTAACTGGGATTACAGGCTTGAGCCAGGGGCACCTGGCTTGAGAACAATGTTTGAAGGAACCAAGGCTAGCACGAAGCTGGACTGTCAGGCAGCATTCCCAACACCTAGGGATGGCATGTTTAGGAGCTACCCCCCAATTCTGGCTTTGTGGGAAGTTGAGAACCACCTCCTGCCCAGAAAGCAGCAGTTGAGAGCTGCTGCTTGTAGGTTATTATTTCTTAGTCCCTCCTAAGATGCTCACTGAACAAAATGCCTTTTTTGAGGGGGGTCAGTTGTGGGGCCTGAACTCTGGGCCTGGGTGCTGTCCCTCAGCTCTTCAGCTCAAGGCTAGCGCTCTACCACTTGAGCCACAGCGCCACTTCTGGCTTTTTCTGCTTATGTGCTGCTGAGGAATTGAACCCAGGGCCTCATGCATATAAGGCAAGCGCTCTACCACTGAGCCACCTTCCCAGCCCCCAAAATGCTTTTTTTAAAAAAAAAAAAATTATTGAGATTAAGTGATTACATAAATTTCACAGTACTGTGAGATAGTGATACTTAAAGTCACAACACATCCTAAACAAAATGCTTTGTCTTTTGTATCCAATACACGGAGACCAGTCAGCTCCTGCTTTGCTCCACTGAGACACAACTTCAGAAGAACAGGTTTCGAGGTTTTGTTCACTCTTCAGTTGCCCACCCACACCTTCCTGGAGGCTGAGCCCTGGCATATCACTC